CCGTTTCGAGATGAATGGGAGATTCGAGCGATACAAGTGACTACCCCAAAGGGAACATCCCCCAGGATCTTTAACTCCGTAGTCCTTCCAGAAGCAGGCGGCCCACTTGGTATGCAAGAAGTATAGCCATTCATCTCCCGATCTCCGGCAAAGACCCGACCTCCGGATATAAATTAGCTTTTGTTTAGCATTCAATGCAAGCCGCCTTTTCCACCGGCCATCCCCCACCCCCACGGTTGATCCACGGTTAGACAGCCACCTGCTCGAACCACCCTCGCCAATCCGGTGCAATTAATGTAGCCACTGGCTGCCTCTCGGTCCAGCCAATTAAACATTTGCGATTCCCGTGAAAAGGAATCGCCTCCGCGTTAAAAGGGAATTAAATTCCCCAAGGTATTGGGAGAGGAATATCCTTACGTAAAAATTTCCCCTTTCCTATCTCTCTCTCTCTCTCCCTCCTCTCCGTGAAGAAGCAAAAGAAGAAAAAGAGAAGGAGGGAAGAAAGAGAGGGGATGGTCGATATCGATATAACCGGACGATATTTTTCTTAAGCAAAATATCGATCGAGAATGGATAAATGAAAATGAGAGATATACCCGTGCCAATCTGCATTTCCGTATCAAAGTCAAGGGGGGAATTCAGTCAGGGAGTCGTGGTGAAAAATCTTCGAAGATAAGCTGGAGGGGAGAAAAGGGAGAACGAAGAGATGTCGAGTACGTGAGGTACATTGTCCGTCGCCGAATCTAGGAGAGGTTTAATCTATCATTACGCGGCAGGGAAGGAACAATGTCGGGAAGGGAGGGGGAGGGCGAGAAGCCGCGGTAACTAACTACTAGGAATAATTAATAAATGCGAGGAGGATGCATTAGTATGCGCGATGGCATAGGATGAGCTCGTGCGGAGGTCCGTGCGGAGCGAACGAGTGGGCGCGAGCGAGTGTGCTCTCCGAGGTTCTGGAGAAGGGAAGGGGAGAGGAGAGGAGAGTCGGAGGAATTATAAAATAATAAAGAGAAAATTACGTAATGCGAGGATCAGATGAGAATTAGAGAGGACAATGAAGACGACGCGGGTAAACCAGCGTCGTCTAACCCGGCTAGACCGTCCAAACGTGGGTGGGAAAATGGTGTAAGATGGAGAGGGCGAGGGCTGGAAAAGGGATGGAAAACGGAGGTCGAGGACCAGACGTCTTAATGTCTGCAACGTCTCTGAACGCGTCCCTTGCGCATGACTATCTTCTCTCGCGAGGTTACGTCTTTCCCGATAAGGCTTCCACTCGCACCACGAATAAACTCCAACGAATATCTAACGAATTCTTGTTTCCTGCCCCGATTTCAATAAATCTTGAATACAAAAAGCTTCGAAAATGGGCTTCGAAATTTCCTCCTATTTCCGTGAGATCGATGGAATAATAATCTTTAAATGGATATTCGTCAAAGGGACGAAATCTCTTCCTTCGAGAGGGAATCGCACGAAATTTATCGAACACGTAGGGGGAGGAGGGGGAGGGGAAGGGGGCGTGATCTCGTCCGTTAATCGGGCTTCCTAATTAGTAGTCAGACGACGTATACCCGGCTGCGACTTTGTAAATGGTAACAATGTTATGTAATTAGGTAAAAAGTTCTGTAATCAAGAAGTAGATCTCCTCGAGCGAGCTTCTCTCTCTCTCTCTCTCTCTCTCTGTCTCGAGCCATCCCATCCCTCTCATTCGTATTAAAATAGTCTCGCTAGGAAAGCGTGCGTTGCGCCCTGCATATCTTAAAACCCAGGGGTTGCCCGAGGACTAAGATCCGCCACCCCCATCCGGTTCTGATTTTTCTCGCGATTCATATTGGCCACGGAGGAGAGAGCGTACGGATTATGGTTCGTGAGAATCGTGGGCGTCCCTCCTTTTTTTTTTTCTTCTTTAAATTTCTTTTCCACGCCCCGTGAAAAATAATATTTTTTTCCCATCCGCGATTGAGCGTGGCGGGCGCGGACTCTTTATTTATTATAACACGAATCGAAACGAAAATTCACGGGCGTCTAATTGTGTTTGTAAAAAAAAAAAAAAAAATGAAAGAAAAAAAGAACGATCGCGATAAGTTCAAGCGCATTTAATTATTTCGCAAGACGCAGAGAAGTAAGCGTTGCCAGTTTATTCGAGCGGTTATTCGATGTTTAATGAAACAGGATCGAACGAGTTGACCAGGTATAACGTTTGCACGTGCACGATCGGCATTAGTCTTCCTGATATCATCGTATAGAGTCGAGAATCATTCGCAAAGTCAACGAAACGAACCGAAACTGTTGACGTCAGTGTTTCCAACAAGCGTATAGTTCGAGCACGATGATCTCATTGTCCGATACATGTGCAAACGTATTAGCCGGGCAAGATTTTTCGCGTACGTGTGTGTGTGTGTGTGTGTGCGTGCGTCGAGGAATCGAGCACCGTTCCCCGGCAACACGTGTGCGTTTGTCAGCTTCTTAGAAAGCGACGAATACGTGTTCGCATGTATAATTTTCCTCGTTTCCATGGCAACTTCTATCCTGTTCTTGGCCCGATTATCGGACAACTCCTCGTAAAAAAAAAAAAAAAAAGAAAAAAGAAAAAAGAAAAAAAGTAGCTCGACTTTTTCTTTATCGAACGCTTGAAACTTTGTAGCGGTCGAAAGAGTTGAAACTACGAGACGGGACTACGAGAGAACCGAACCGAACCGAGGATTTAGAATCGATAAGACGAAATGTCACGTCTCGACGAGACGAAGACAAGAACGATATTAGATTTTCGAAGTAAATGAAATCGTGTATCAAGCGAATATTCTTAATCGAAATAGCTCGCGGACGAAAGATTTGAAAACTATCATTAACTCTTCGCCCGATCGCGCGCGCTCTCGTACTCGTATCGAAGGGTAGATACTGCGAAAGGGAACAGGAGACAGGAAACAAATCGCGGACGAGTTTGATCGCGATGCGCATGGAGGAGAGAGAGAGAGAGAGAGAGAGAAAAAGAGAGGAGGAGAGGGGTGTAACTCGTAGGATCGCGTGCAATAACGGCTGGTGGTTGTGTATCGGCGTGCACTGACACGCCGAGACGAAACGATTTCAATAAACAAGCTTGACGCACACGTACGTGCAAAGTGGCACGAATGGTTTTTTCCTAGAGCCGGCTACGTGCGTGGGCGGCATCGGCTTTGCTTCCCTATCGCACGTAAAAGCCAAGATAAACATTATTTATTTTTTATTTTTTTCCTTTTTCTTTCTCTTATTCCACCGCGCGTACGTAGACGCGAAGATGTGTGTGGATCGTGGTGGTGCTAGTGGTGGTTGTGTATACGTGTAAGGTTGCGCAGATTGTGTCGTGTGCATAAGCATCGGTGAATGAAGACGTTGTATCGCAATAAGGCGGTACGGTTACTATTCGATAAAATTAAATCCGGCGATCCTCTGAACGCGGATATTGCGCCCGAGATCGCCTCGATGTAAATCGTTGGTAAAATACGACGAGGCCGGTTACGTTAACCACGTTGGCAATTGCGTGTTACATTCGTCCCTCGTTGCTTCGTATCGCGTACGATTTAGATTGCACGTCACTACCCGTTTATTTAACTTTACCAGCACGCGCATTACTTGCGTTACAATACAACGTTTACGTCACCGGGTCCCCGTGCCATTTCATGAAAATTGTGCATTCTTTTAAATAACGATATATCAAGTTGCCGTTGTATACACCCGAGTATGCGCGAGTATCAAATAAACCGTCAAAAACCGTTCCGTCCCCCGGAATATTGCAATGCGAATTGGTAATGCGCATCGATTGCATTTCGCGTCTCCTTTGTTTACGAACGTGATACGAACGGCGAGACTCATTCAATATAAAATCGAAAGTGCTACTCGCTCCTTCTAAACGGCGTCTCGTGCTAACTCTTGCCAAACCCAATCGAACTCCTCAATTTTACAATTCCCATCAATCGCGACCGATTCGAAAAGGCGAGAGGAAGGGAGAGGAAGAGAGAGAGGGAAAGAAAGAGGAAAAGAGAAAGAGAGAGAGAAAGAGAGAGAGAAAGAGAGGAGAAATTGATTCGGTAAAGTTTTCCCTAAATCGTAGGACACGTTTCGCTCGTTAAGAGTCGTGGACGGATAAGTAACGACGGCGCCGAGCGTTGGCGGAGTGGTCGGTCGGTCGGTCGAGAGAGAGCGAAGAGAGGAGGAAAGGGAATGGTGGAGGGAGTTAGGTGGTACAGGACGCGGGAGCAGGCTGGAATTAAATAAAAATAAAACGCGAGATAATAACGTTAGCGAAGGAACCGAGAAGCCCAAGACAAATAGCCGAGGGAAAACAAAGCGTATTATAAATACCGGGTGACAGGACGAGTTGGTATTGGAGAGTGAGCGCGCGACAGAGTAAGAGGGTGGTTTTCAACGGGGGCGAGGCGGCGAGAAGAAGGAAAAAGAGGGGGTTTGGTCGGTGGTTGGCAACGACGAGGACGAGGACGAGGACGAGGACGAGGACAACGACGACGACGACGACGGCGACGACGACGACGTAGTGGCCGTGTCGTGTTCTGCGCGGAAGAGAGAAGAAAACGTTGGGAGGAAAGCAGGCAACGATGCCCCTCTAGCATTTTTGCTACCTGCGGACACAATGAGTGGCCGGATTTCTTTTTCCGCGGTCGTTACTCACCCTCCCGACGAGGGATAGTATTCTTATCCAAGCCGGAATTACAAATTTCAGACACCGAGCCCTTGTGTCGGACAGGATTCTGACTGCGCGTTATATTCTCCTCCAAAGTGGCTTTGCTTCGCGCGCGCTCTCCTTTTACAATTACCCTATCTACCCTACCTCCCTTCTCTCCTCCTTTCTTTCTTTTTTTTCCCCCCTCCTTTTTCTCCACGTGTCTCTTTTTCCTCCCCTCCTCTCCTCTCCGCTCTTCATTTATTTTTTGGCATTCGGACAGAGAAGAGACGAAATATATATATATATATATATATATATACGTTCGAGTGTATGATAGATTACTCACACTAGGACGAGCGTGGCCGCGCGGATTCAGCTGCCAAGGAACCGTCGATGGCTGGAATTGCTCCTTTCCCCACGAACCGTTGTCGAACGGGTTCTCACCGATGTGTCCCTGAAACAAAAAATCCTTTTGGTCAGTACAAATCGGATCAAACTTTTCCTAAATCTATCTGTTCTCGCAAGCATCCAACGATCATTGCAATACAAACTCTTACACTCACCTCTGACAAAGCGAAACGAGAGAAAAAAAAGGAATGCGAGGAGGAAAAGTTCGAAGAAGGAAATTGGACGGAATAAAATCACGCGATTTGACTTTTTTCTCGTCGAGCAAGGTACAACTGCTCGTTAACGCGAGGAAAAAAGAGAGAAAGGGAGAGAGAGAGAGAGAGAGAGAGAAAAGAAGTTTGCTCTCCAACAGTTTCGCGAGAAAATATTTATTCCTCTGGTGGTATTTTCCTCGCGAGAGGAAAGCAAGCGAGCGAAACCCGCCGCGAAGAAAGGAGACATCGATCTCCCGGAGTTCGCAGTTTCAAAGTTTTTTTCTCCTCGATGCTCCTTCACGCAGCGCCGAGCTTATTTTTGTAATATATTCCGCGCCCACCACCGCCCCTTCCCCGACTTTGCACCCCGTAAGCCTTATTTTTCTTTTAACTTTATTTCTAACCTAGAATCCCGCGACTTCAACAGAGGTGGCACGCGCATAAATCAGCCGGTATAATGAGAACACTTCGTCTTCGGCCGGCTCGCCCTCTCGCTCGCAGACGCATCCCTTACGGGGCCGGCTATTATATCATTCTTTACTTCGCCCGCGTGGATCTCTCTGCCCGCCGCGATTATATTAATATTCTCGCTCGCACGATTCCGTCATCCCTTCGTCTCTCCCTTTAATTTTTCTCACTCGTTTCGATTTCCAACAAATTTTTAGCCCCCCCTCTATATAGGATTAACCGATTATCCGATTTACATCTATTAAAGTTGTCTATTTAAGTTGTTTTCGTTCGCGATATATGAAAGGTGAAGCGACACTTTTTCGCGTTTTGAAAGTTTACCGAGAATTCTAATTTTTCCTTCTTTCTCTCTCTCTCTCTCTCTCTCTCTCTCTCTCTCTCTCTCTCTCTCTCTCTCTCTCACCCTTATTATTTCGAATTCGTGAAACCTCATGAATATTTCCTCCCATCATCCACCAATTACCTATATTTGCACACGTGATACATTTATACCAAAATTTCTCCGAGAATAATCGGATAATCGAACGTTAATAATAGATCAGAATGACAGTGTATATTTCCGAATAATTCGTGGTTAAGAGAGATTGAAATTTTTCATTTCTGAAACCTGTTTACCACATTCCCGCTCGCAAGCGAAAGGAAAGAAAGAAAGAAAGAAAGAGAGAAAGAAAAAGGTGAAGAAAAAAAATCCGCAGACCTGTCAAAACCGTATTATATCATATGTATAATCGTGCCGCGGAATTTGGCCGTGAACACGCAATATAACGCAGCTGTGCAGATTTTAATCGAATTACTTTGCCGATTTATAATTAGCCGAATCTCTGTTCTCACGGCTCGCCATTGCGCAATCTTTTCGAGGCGTGTTCCTGCGTGGGTGAGATGGACCGTGCAACAGAAGAAAATGGGAAAGGCTCGTGACCAAATTCGATTTATAATTAGAAGAAGAGATACGTATACGAAATTAGAAGGGAGCCAGGCAATAACCGCGAATATAGAGATACGATTTTAATATTCCGTCACGCGAGAAGAACGAGAAACCGCGATGCGCAATTAATCGATGCGCGATCGAACGATGAAGAAATTCCTGCATAATTCAGATAAATCCATCCTTAGGAATCCATCGTCCTTCCTCTTTTCACGAACGATCGAACGCACATCGAACAAACGGACGACGACGACGACGACGATGACGACGAGGCGATGCCATTTTCTCACGGATCGAGGCTTGATCGTTTCGCGAAACCCATCGACGAGCGGTTTATTCCAGGAGGAGGGGGAGAGGAGGGGGAAGAGCGACGTGTTCCGTTCGCGGCGAAGTACAAGGCAGAAATAAACAGTGGCGGTGGAAAATAATGAACCGGATAGCATATATAAATACCCGACGGCTATTGAGGCACATTGTGCGCTTCATTTGCATGAGGCAGCCGCGTTCTCGACGCGCAGCTGGACATACACGCGACAAAAGAAACGCGCAAACAAAACACGCAACACGGCCACGTCGTGTGCCACCACGCACTCGCCTAACGTTCCGCGTTCCTTCCACCTTCTCGAGCATCCGCGTGGCATCTTATCGTATCCGGTGCACAGCCAAACCATCGGTTTCTCAACGTCCCACATACCTTGTTCCCTCGAATGCTGGCTGCGTTTCGATGCAATTAGCCTCCCCGAGGAGGAGGGGAGCCGAGAGGGAGCCGTGTGTCGTTGTGTTGCGCCACGTGGACAGATGGGTTAACGGATGGATTGACGAGCGACGAGCGTGAGAGTGGCGCATAACTTTCCCGATTTCGACGACGACGAGTTGATAGCGTGCGGTTGGCGCCCTGGATACGATGAACGATAAGCCGGCTTAATATCGCGGGATCGAACGGAGATTAGAGTTTGTCAGATTCGACGGGAGTAATTTCCGCGCGGTGGATACGCTATATTAAATTTGCGGGGCGAAATAAAAATAAATGAAACGAGATAAGAGATGCGGTGACGACACGCGACGCGTCGAGAGGAAAAAAAAAAAAAATAAAAAATTGCGGGGAGAGATGTAGAAACGTAGAAAACGCGTTAGATGGTTACGGGTGAGAGAATTGGCGGCGAAAGCAATAAAAAAAAAAGAAAAAAAAAAAAAAAGGTTATAAAATTAGTATACAAGGCTGATAATAAAAAAACGATGATCGACGAAGATTACTCGGGGGGAGGGGGGAGCTCCTCGAAAGACGGCGAAATGAAACGTTTTTATCGGTCGCTCGTGTCTTCGAAGAGGGATGATAGGGCGAAGGGGGAGGGAGAGGGAGGGAAGGAGAGGGGTGGCGGCGAAGGAAGAATGGAGGAGGGGAGGGGTGGCAGTGATTGTAATCATATTTTCAGGGGGACGGATTTATGCAACGCACCTCGTCGTCTCTGTACATAAAACGCATTTAAAATTCTCGAGGCAGGCGGGAAAGGTGGCTGCTGTCCTTGTCGATGGGGCAGGGTGACGGGGGGAGGGGGTGGTGGAGCGCCGCGGGGGTTGTAATTGGCAATATCTATCGAATTTTACAATAAATCTCACCGAGCCCCGAAGGAGAGCCGACGGGGGTGGGGCGTAGCAATAAAACACCGGGTAGTATCGCGAGGGGCTGCCACGCCATGCACTTAACGACTTATCTTATCTTGGAATTAGGTCGCGGTTAGAACTCCTTTAACCCGGGACGGCAACGAATGCCAACGATATGCTTTTTCCTTCCCGATTGTTCCTACAAATGCACAAATTCGTCACGGTCGACGATTAAGTCGCCGTTTTGCATTCTTTCTCGCGTCGCGTTTTTCGAATTTTTCGAGAAAAATTATTATCAACGATTATTAACGTAAACGAGAAATTTAAGATGTAAGAGTGTCTTTTGAGAAAGAAGGAAAGATAGAAAGAACGCGTTGAATGATAAGCGATCGGAATAATTTATCGTTTGTGCAATTTTCTGATTCGTTGGTGGTCTCAAAAACAATTCGTACAACGGAACGACGTAATAGTAGTAGTAATAGTCACTGTCGCAATTAGCGTTGACTTCACGTTTTAAAATGTGAACGTTCCCCGTTCAGAGATAATGCAATCATTTCCACGAAGCGTCGCCTATATTAGCGGCTGTAATCTAGAAAATACGTACGTCGAGGTTTTTCTTCTTCTTTTTTTTTAAAGATTTCTCTCGCGGCGCGCTCGCGGCACTCGAAGTGTAAATCGAAGGACGAGATCGAAGAAGAACGGAGGGGAAGGAGAAGGAGTTAAGAAATTTCCAAACACACACCAACGGTATTTGTGGCCCCGTCAATTTTTATCCTCGGCCGTTAAGTCTTGTAATGCCAGCAAATAGACGCGAAGGCTCGAGCAAGCGGCCGAGCAAACGAGTTACAGCCGTGGGGCCTCTAAAAATAAATATGTTGTTTATTCACAAGTAAACCGGATGCCGTTGTTTGCTTTGGAGCAAATTGTTTTGTTAAGTTTTGCCGTGCGAGAGAGCGTGGCACCGTGTGTGTGGGTGCCGTGTCCTTGCAGATGAGAAGTGTGCGCGCGCGAGAGAAACGGTTTACCGGCAGGCGGGAGAACAAGAAAGAGTAAAAAGGAAGAAAGAAAATACACGTGAAGTCAACCATCGTCTCTCCTCCGTCCGCGCTTTTTCCGGTACGCTTTGCTCCTCCTGTTGCTAGATACCTCCAGCTGTACGCGGATTCCAACGCGAATAAGCGAATACAATTACGTACGATCGTTTCGCGATGATCGATGGTCGCCGAAATAAATAATCAAAATTGACAAGCTGATCGAAAATTCCACGTCCAGAACATCGATGCATCGATCGTAATGCGGAGGAAATGGTAAACGAGCCAAGCGCGAAAAGTGTTTTTACTATTGTTTGCAAAAGAAAAAAAAAAAAGAAAAAGAAAAGAAAAGAAAGAAAGTTGAAAGGGGCGTTTCAAATGCGAAAGAAAAGCGATAAAATCGTGCAAAGGCGCGAGTTACTGTTCTCAAGATCCCAAAAACACGGAGGAGAAGGCCGTGAGAGAGAGAGAGAGAGAGAGGGAAAAGAGGGGGGAAGGAAGAGACGGAAAGAGAGAAAGAAAGAAAGAGGGTGACGGGGGTGAAGAGGAAAAACAAGAGGTTGGAAAAACGGCGGTGGAAGAGTGGAGAGAACAACGGGTGGGCTCGTCTACGGGCCGGGCTAATTACAAAACACAATTAAAATGGTATCACGAAAACGCGCTAAGTAATATCGTTTCAACGAGGCGAGTTTAACCGGACACCCGGTACAGATTCGCAGATTAATGCCCTTTAATAAACAGACCCCCGTACACACCGGTGTACAACCGTGTTCCTCCCCGGACCTGCGTCGCCTTTTTCCATCCCTTTTGCCTCCCCCTCCCCTCC